GAAAGTGATTGTGTTAACTTTATTCCCCGATTAGGGTTGGAAATTGGAGCGTGATATCTGACTTCCACATATTCGGGTCTGAAATTTTCCCATTTTTGGACAAAACTTTTCACTCTGAATTCCAAAAATTTCAATTTCCAATTTTCCGGTTTTTTTGGAGTGGAACTGGAATATATATTAACGGTAAATGGCATATAGGGTCATGACAAAGACACTTAATTCAAACTTTTTTTTCTTCTAAATAAATTCAGTTCATTCAAACTTATATGCAAATAAGCAAAACTCTTTTAGCTCAATTCCTTGAAACTCTAATTCAACTCCAATTTCATGATTTACACCCCAATTTAGCTAAATTTCACCAATTATCCAATTTTGACCCTTATTCCAATTTTGACCCGCCACCGTCGGAGACCGCCGGTCAGCCGCCGTTGACTTTTTATTTTTTTTTTAAATTCCTAATTTTTTTGTTCCGGCACGTCAATTGCCGTTGATTTTTTTTTTTGAATTTTTTTTTTCTTAAAAACAATTATTTTAATTAATATTATTGTCTTGACTGCTAAATTACTTTCTTTGGCGTTAGACTTTTTTTTTCAAAATTTGTTTTTTATTAAAAAAAATTATTTTAAATTAATATTACTGTTGGAGACAGTAACTTAACTGTCTCGGACAGTAATTTTACTGTATTAATTAATTTTATCGTTTTGGCCTGTAATTTTGTTGTCTTCGATCGTAATATTACTGTCTCCGACCGTAATATTATTGTCTCATACAATAATATTACTGTTTGGGACAGTAATATTAGTAATATTACTGTTCGGGAAAGTAATATTTATAATATTACTGTCCCAAACACTTATATTATTGTTTGAGACAATAATTTTAATTACTGTTTCGGAGAGTAATATTATTTTTTTGGACAGTAATATTAGTAATATTACTGTTTGAGACAATAATATTAGTAATATTATTGTTTTGGTATTCAATATTACTATTTCAGACAACCGGCTGGAAAAATAATATAGAAAAAAAAGTTGTCAAAATAAAAATAAAAATGTAGACGCTTGAATCTGGCCGGAAATGAAAATTTATTTTTTGAATAGAAAAATTAATTTTTTCAAAAAATTATGAAATGGGGGTTAATGTGATATAATTGTTCAAATTTGGGGTCAATGTGTAATATTGAGGAAATTAGAGTATAATGAATGGAATTGATAAAAATTATATTATGGAGAGTATTTTAGACAAAAGACATGGGTATGAGTTTATTTGCAAGACTGTTTTTTGTCTGAACCTATGTGCATTTAAGTCTCATGTCATGGGTCTCTTTGCCATTCGTCCATATATTAAATTCGGATTTCCGATCCGATTTTAATTTTTGAAAATAATTACGAAAATTATGTTTCTGAATCCTACACTTATAATATAAATATTATTATGTATTATATATTTTAGGTAACTAAAAATTGGAATTTTTCGAATTCCTTCGGATCCAAAAGATTCCAATTTCGCAACAAGTTTTTTCTTTCCAATTTCTTATTTATTTGAATGTTTGTTTCGGTACGGGATTAGATTTGGTTTTCATTCGGAAAGAAAAAAGGCAAGTTTTTTCAGAAGTGTTAATTTCCGTCTGTTTTCCACGCTTAGCCCCGATAGTGTAAAATGTGCTTCCATATTATCAATTTTCTTCGATAATATGCTTTCCCAAACTATTTTACTATATTCAATTTTGTCAACTAATTGGATTCGTGAAATTACAGGACATGATCACTGCAGGAATGGACACAACAGCAGTATCCGTGGAGTGGGCCATGGCGGAACTAATCAAGAACCCGCGGGTCCAACATACGGCCCACGAGGAGCTCGACCGTGTGATCGGAACCCAACGCATAATAACTGAACTCGACTTCCCAAACCTCCCATATCTCCAATACATAGCCAAAGAAGCAATGCGGTTGCACCCAGCAACTCCTCTCATGCTCCCTCACCGATCCAATTCAAACGTCAAAATCAACGGATACGATATTCCCAAGGGATCCAACGTCCACGTCAATGTGTGGGCCATAGGGCGGGACCCACAAGTGTGGAAGAATGCATTGGAATTTAGGCCCGAGAGGTTTATTGAGGAAGATGTTGATATGAAGGGCCATGATTTTCGACTGCTCCCGTTTGGTGCGGGGAGAAGAGTTTGCCCCGGTGCGCAATTGGGGATTAATTTGGTGACGTCTATGATTGGGCATCTTTTGCACCACTTCGAGTGGGCCCCGCGTGAGGGTGTGCTTGCGGAGGAGATTGATATGGGTGAGAATCCTGGTCTGGTGACGTATATGAGGACTCCGTTGGAGGCTGTGGCTACTCCTCGATTACCCAAGTTTCTGTACAAGCGTGTGGCGGTCGATATGTAATTTTGTTGATTTTCGCTAAGACGAATTAAGTGTTTATTATTGCTATTTTACTTGCCCATGAATAGCAATTTCATCATCTGCCTAGTTTGAGTTATAATCATATTGAAATAGTAATTCTCATTTTATTATTTTTCTTTTTCTTTTTAATTTCTAACTAACTACAGTTTTAATTAAATTTTATTTAAATAGAGCAATTTAAATAGATTTAAAGAATCTTATACAATGTAGCAAGTTTCAAAAGGTGCTTGGGGTCTCAAATTTCTTACATTAGTCATATAATTTCGACCAATATCGACCAACCGACTGTTCAATAAACCAACCGACTGTTCAATAAACCAACCGACTGTTCAATAATTAGAAACTATATCGACCAACCGACTGTTCAATAATTAGAAACTATATCGGACCCAATTATACAATATGGGTCGGTTAAAATTATCAACCTGACCAAAACGAGTCGGTTGGTAGGCAATTATCGGCCAGATTAGTCGGGCAGATAATGGGTCGGTTGTCGGGTATAATCGACCCATGAACAACACTAATTATAATTGTGCAAGTCGAAATTTGATGTGAAAATAATTAGAGAAAATGATTGCAAAATAGGAGATATATATAAATTATTTTTTTCTTCTTGCAAATATGTTATTAGGGTTTCTTAAGTTGCCCTAGCGTTTCTTTCTTTTATATATAAAGATTTTGAAAGTGTTTGGATAATGAGCTTATGAACCCCAAGTAGCTTATATTTAAAATTTTAAGATACCTTAAAAAAAAAAAAAAAAAAAAAAAAAACACTTCCGAAAAAGTTGTAAGCTCTTAAATATTTTATAAGTTCTTTTTAACAACTTATAAGCTTAACTAAACACAGTTTGAATCCCACGGCTCAAGACCTTGTTCTTAGACTCGATTTCAGGCTGCCACGCAAAATTGTTCAATATTCGTGAACACAAAGAACTATGCGTGATTTCTCGTCAAACAAAAACTCTTCAATACTTCATTATCAAAAACGAGTGACGCGTGCGTTTGGAATTCTTATATTTAACCTTACTTTAATGTTAAAAATGATCATACTAGTGGTTATTGATGCTTACTGAAGCAAGTGTTCTTTCATTTTCAAAAATTTCCAAAAAATATAGAAGTTGCAAAGTTACATTAACTCCAAATCTTTTGAAGTTTTATTCAGAATTGGAATAGATTTCTATCTTCTTAAACTTTTGAATTAAAAAAAAAAAAAAAAAAAAAACTCAAAGGAATTGTTCATATTTGAATTTCTATTTTACATTCTTTTCGTAAAAAACCAATTTCGATTTCGTCCGATTTCTAACTCACACACCTAACTTTAAGAGCACTTTTTTTAACCTTAAATCACATACAACATGCATTATACATATATCGACTTCATAATCAGGATAACATAAATGAACCCGATGTCGACCACCCTTTGAGCCGTGAAGATGAGTGTTTAACTTAATTTGTCACTTAATATCTGTAATTTCAAATTGGTTGATATTTAATTTCTCAACTAACTGTCATGTCTAACGGTCTAAGTAACCCTAATTAACTTTTTTAATTGGTTATTGAGTGGCATATTCGTGTTAGGGCAAGGTTCATTTGTAGAATCGATCAGTTAACTCAACTTACATTAGTAGAAAATTTGTTTTTTACTACGAAATTGTTTGCTACGGTAAAAAGCCGTAATAATAGGTAATTTTTATTACGGAACAATTTTGAAGTCGTAGTAAATACTGAGATTTACCGTTGCAAAAAAATATTTAGTATGGCTATTTACTGTAGCAAAGTTTTTGTCACGCCCATATATGCTATGGGGCAAATTCGTAGCAAATGCATAGCAAAAACTTTTTTACTACGAATTTGATACATTTTGCTACAGTTAATGGTCGTAGTAAAAAGTCATTTTTCTACCATTCAAATTATCAGTCAAACTAATTTAATATTAGTTGAGTTAATTAGTTTAATAAAAATCAGTTAACTCGAGAGGGAAGAGAGAGAAAAAAAAAAGGGCAGTTGATTTTTCGCTAATTTAAATTAGTGAAAATTTCCGCTCGCTTTTCTAATTAGGGTTTACCAAGTTGATCGCCTTTACAAATCCCTCACGCGCTTTTTTAAACTCTTACAAATCAGCTGGCCAATTGATTATCAATCACTTGAGTCAACTCATTTCAGTCAATTATCTCTCTCAATCAATCTTTGCTACATAGAACTATAATATATATATATATATATATATATATATATATATATATATATATATATATATAACAATACATTCAATTAAGAAAAAGAGTTAAAATGGTAGAAGAAATAAAAAATATGGGACTACAAGAAATTTAAAGTAGCTAGTAGTTAGCATAATATTAAAGAAGGATGTCAAATTTAACTTATCAAGGATCATTTTGAGATGATTTTGATATATGAGGGACTATTGTTATAAATTGAAGAAAATAGGGACTTAAGTGAGACAACATGTATACTTGGAGGATTAATATTAATATTTGTCTCATATTTTGTATCTATCTATATCTATATATATAGAGACAGAGTGTAATAACATCCATAGAGCATGAAACATCTAATTCCGCCATGGCAGATCTCTCTTTACTCCTCCTCCTCCTCTTTCCGTCCATCTTCCTCCTTCACAGCCTCTACCGCCGCCTCCGCTTCCGCCTCCCACCGGGACCCCGCCCGTGGCCGGTGGTCGGAAACCTCTGCCAGGTCAAACCGGTTCAGTTCCGGTGCTTCGCGGAGTGGGCCGGGTCGTACGGCCCGATCATGTCCGTGTGGTTCGGGTCGACGCTAAACGTCGTCGTTTCGAACTCGGAATTAGCGAAGGAAGTCCTGAAGGAGAAGGATCAGCAGCTCGCCGGCCGCCACCGGAGCAGGTCGACGGCGAAGTTCAGCAGAGACGGCCAGGATCTGATATGGGCCGACTACGGGCCCCACTATGTGAAGGTGAGGAAGTTTTGTACGGTGGAGCTTTTCTCGCCGAAGCGGCTCGAAGCTTTGAGGCCCGTTAGGGAAGATGAAGTCACGGCTATGGTGGAATCTATTTACCGAGATTGTGTTTATCCAGGTTTGTACGTACGTTGTGCTTACGTTTTCGGGGTTTCGGATTTTGGGTTTTTGAGTTTTTGAGTTTTCGTTGTACTCTTTCGGGCTCGAATAAAATCTGCATTAATAAATCTAATAATAAAACTTTAACTTTATCGTTTCAGAATTATAATTTTACGAAGAAAAAATTAATTTGAATTTTTATTTCATTGGTAGTGTAAACATTTGAATAATTAAATCATGTGTTATGTTCATTGCAGCCATAATATATATTCACTGAATTTTCAATTTTATGGTCAATATTTCACTTGCTAGAATCTATAATTTGCTGCATGCATGATTCCAAATTTATTGTTATTAATCATTGAAGATAAATATATAAATATATAAAGAAAAAATAAAAACATTTCCATGAAATTAGAATTTTTTTTTTATAATAAAATTGAAATCTTGAAAAGAAATTTGAAAACATATTATTGCATATTCATCTTTATATATGTAATTGTTGGAAGGGAATTAATTATATGAGAAGAAAAATTGCATGTCATTAAAGTCAAAGTTTTATTATCGGATTTGATAATGGAGGGTGTAAAGTGTACATTTGATACTTTATTGGGTAATTGTTAGAACTCTTATACTTTAAGGATGCAAACTGTATTTCACCATTTATATTTTAATAATTCATATATTAACTAAATTTTACAAAAAATTAATTAATTTTAATTTGCAGTAAACTCAGGGAAGAGTTTGGTATTGAAGAAATATATATACGCAGTGGCATTCAACAACATAACAAGACTTTCATTTGGTAAAAGATTTGTGAATTCCAAAGGTATAACCGACAAGCAAGGCCACGAGTTGAACGAGATATTCGAAAAAGAATTCGATTTCGATTCTTCCTTCATGATTGTCGCCGAGCACATTCCGTGGCTCCGTTGGATGTTCCCGATAGACGAGAAAAAGTTTGTCGAACTGGAAGCTCGAAGAGACCGATTCACGCGTGAAATAATGGAAGAGCACACGCTCGCGCGCCGGAAAAGTGGTGGGGCCCCCAAACAACACTTCTTTGATGCTTTGGTCACGTTAAAAGACCAATATGACCTCAGTGAGGACACCATCATCGGCCTTCTTTGGGTGAGTGTATACGATAAAATCGACCGAGGCTTGCAAAAGCAGTCGTATTTGTCGCAACAAATAATAGACGATATTTTTTTACAAAATATAATTGGTCACAAATATATAATTAATTTCGTCACTCATTGTGTATGTAACAAAATCTCCGTTACTAGGACATGCTCGTTGCAGGAATAGACACGATTGCAATATCCGTCGAGTGGGCGATGGCCGAACTAATCAAGAACCCGAGGGTGCAGCGTAAGGCCCGCGAGGAGCTCGACCGTGTAATCGGAACCCAACGCATAATGAACGAACCCGACTTGTCAAACCTCCCATATCTACAAAGCATAGTCAAAGAGTCACTAAGATTGCACCCACCGACTCCTCTCATGCTCCCACACCAACCGAACGAAAACGTCAAAATCGGCGGCTACGATATCCCGGCAGGGTCCGTCGTCCACGTCAACGTGTGGACCATAGGGCGGGACCCACAGGTGTGGGAGAACACTACAGAATTTAGGCCCGAGAGGTACGTTGAGGAGGATGTTGATATGAAGGGCCACGATTTCCGACTGCTCCCGTTTGGTGCCGGGAGAAGAGTGTGCCCCGGTTCGCAGCTGGGCGTAAATTTGGTGACATCGATGATTGGTCATCTTCTGCACCACTTCGAGTGGGCCCCACCTAAGGGCGTGTCTGGGAAGGAGATCGATATGGAAGAAACTCCCGGTTTGGTGACTTACATGCGGACTCCGTTGGAGGCCGTGGCTACTCCTCGATTGCCCGAGTTTCTATACAAGCGCACGGCTGCGGACTTGTAATAAATTGTTCGATTCGAAATAATTCGACTGTTTCAGACAGTTTGTACTTATATATATGAACTATAAAGTGTGTTTTCTTGCATTGTAAGTATGTAATATGTTTCTCTTAATGATTAAAAAAAATAGATTAATTATATATTATGAATAAAAAGAGAAACATTAAATATTAATAGTAAGAAGATAATATACACATGGGACAAATGCTAGAAGCAGTTCACAAGTGACTACAAATAAGTAATATACAGCTGAAACAATACTGCCAATTAGATAGCCCAAATACACTCAGAGAGTTACCACAAGCTATAAGATCAGTAATCATAACTCTTAACAACGAAAATAACACACGGAAGAAGACGAAAAACTAAATAAAACGCAAAATAAACGCAAATTTCCTAGCAATAGATATGTTACCTAATAATCCCAAAGTGTCGAATTAAGTGATTAACCACTTACACAAAGTCGTCATTCCTTCTCTAACTAAACCCTACTCCTCTTCGTCGTAATCTTCGTCTTCTTCATCCAATCTCGAACTAAGCTGCGTGAGATGAACAGGGTCAACAGCCATCCGATCGATTTCGGAAAGTCCGAAATCTTCGGCTTTCGCATCCGACGGTCCAGAGGCCGCTGCCACATCAGCAGCTGCAGCAGCAGCAGCAGCAGGAGTGGATGCCGTTGCTTTGTCGGTTCCTTCATCTACTCCAGCGTTCAGGTCAAAGTTTCGAGTTTCTTGACCAGCCACATCGTTGGCTTTGACATTCTCTTTTGATTCGTTCAAAAGTTCGGAGTTGGTTTCCATTGGCCTATTTGGGCTTGAGATCTGTTTAGTGGTTTGCTGAGAAGTGGATTCCGTTTCGTTTCGAGGGGGCTCTCTCTCTGTGGCTTTGCTGGCCCGACCACGCCCTCTTCCTCTACCCCTCCCTCTTCCCCTACCTGTGCTACTTGCGTTGCTCGGTTCTTGCTGCACAAGTTACAAATATGAACATGCTTATCCAAACATGATATATAGCATGATGAGTTACATCTAACGATTCAGGTTAATCTTTTGGTCACTAAAAAAGCTTCTTCAACTAAGAACACCAATCAAGCAAAATATATGATCTTTCACTATAATCAATAATTATCTATCCATTAGGGGTTTCTCTAAGCCAGATGCACACACACACACAGACATATATATATATATATATATATATATATATATATATATATATATATATATATATATATATATATATAAACACACACACACACACATAGACATATATATCAGCATATCACAAGAACTGAATTTCAGTAAAAAGGCATAGCCATTAGATTATTCTTCAGATTGAAGCAACAGATTTCTGTTTTGCCATAAAATTAGACCTTAATCGTGTCAAAAGCTGTGGTACTCTGAAACAGATGTATCGGGTCAGTCATCGGAATGAGAATATGAATCAAACCATCTACTCTTATCGTAGGGCAATCGGTTTTGGACAATGTCTTGATTCGATACAGATTTTATGACTCCAGAATTAGCAAAAATATTCAAGGAAGGAAATCATACCATAACGTTCTTTTTGGACTCTTCGTCACTGTCATTTGGTTCATTGGCAACAACTTTCCTGGCAATGAAGTCAACAATTTAATCTTAATATTGATTAACTAAATGGGGAGCGGCCCATCACATGCAACAGAAAGAATGATGATGATCAAAATTAAAGTATTGACACCTTCTTTTCGATGTATCAGCTGCAGCATCAGAATTACCATAGTCGGGAACTTTGCTGACAACTTCCTTTAAGAAGTCAAAGACATTATAGCTGTGTACACAGTGTTTTCTGTAGAGAGAGAGAGAGAGAGAAGAAAAAAAAACCTCAGACGGTGCAGCTGATAACAGATTTTTTAAAATGAAATACATCATCTTTCTGGAAAAACTATTTCCTTCAACAAAGTTCATAAATCTATATATAGTCACAAATTAATGCAGCTGAATAAAACCTCAGCCGATTCTTTTTGTGCACTCATAAGTAGGACCAGCTAGGACTAAGTTGAGACTCGGATACTAAGAATATAACTTCTGCATGCAAATATAAGGACCCGTATAGCACATCCGACACATGTCTTAAACTTTTTGCAGACAATAGGGAATTTTAAATGCATTATTTTTTAGTTTAGCTATATTCTTGATATAAAACTTCAAAAAACTTAAAGCGAAGAGCTGTATGACAAGTACGCTGGGACAACTGATCTTTGACAATATTTTTTTTAAAGGAGCATTTGATTTGAACTATGAGAGGATGCCCTATTGAAAACATCAACAGCATAAAACAAGATATTATTTGAAGAGGGCAAAAGAAAACCAGATAAGCCTTTTGACTCGTTACTTTGCAGTTGTGGCATTTAGAGGGAGGGTCTAGCTACTAGTTTCAGATTAGCTAACTGTATCATATTTTAAATACAAGCCTTCAAAAACGTAGATTCACAAAAACCTACATGTAAAGATTTACATTCCAAATGACATGTCAAGTTGGTAACCATGTGGTGCTTGTAGGCTGGTTAGTAGTGTGGCAAGTGGAGTAAAGTTTGTGGATGAAAAACCATGCATTCTGCAAAAACCTCACATGACTAGATATTGAATTCAACAGAAATTGATCAAATATAGAAGAAGAAATGGTCCATAGAAAGACAACTGCATGCACGTACGGCAAGTTATATAGAAGATCAGATCTAATGGAAACTCATTCTAAAGAACAGAATAAATCATTAGAAACAGGATCGGGTCACACAATATACAGCTAAGTTCTTCTACAGCTCCTAAACTATTGGACTATATCACACATGGCTGTGATAATATATGGTTAACAATCAAAGAATTAATTGAATAGGTTATTTAATATATAAGAAAGTTAAGATGCGACTCCACTCACAAATGCAACGAATTAACAGTCTTTGCCCCTCTCTGCACAGTTATGCCATATGTGTGATCACAAAGATCTTGCAGAAATAACTCCAAAGCTTTAGCTGAATCAAACAGAAGAGCAACCAATTCAAGATTCAATGACACAGTGAAAGTTGATAATCCAACAACAAACTAATACATACAGACTAAAACAGGAACTGCCATTGCAATCTTCCCAACATCCTCATCTGCTTGCATGATCTTTTTTATACGAGCCTGACAAACACAAGTTCCAATTATATGAATGGCTCACTGAATTTACTGTTGTTAGGACAAAATATAAGGAGATGCTACAGTTCTCATACATTAATTTTCTCTTTCTTTCCAGAAAAACATTATATGCATTGTTACAGACAGTAAATCAAAAAAAATATCTAAGTCAAAATAGACAAGGTCGGAATAACATTTACCAAGCATAATTCAATGAAGAACATATTTTATTTGTGTCAACTAGATTAGTACAGTAAAAGTCATTGCTAGATTAGATGGGTTACTTTATTTTGTCATTGGCATAATATGGGCACATGCATAGAACCAAGAACCAAAATAAATATTCTGCGGACTTTGGCTTATTTTTGTCTTCTGGTTTTACGCAAGTTTTCAGATGACTAAAAATCCGAGCTAACTCAAATATTAATATAACAACCTCCTAGCCACCTAGGTTCTCACTTCCAAAGCCAACAGACAAGATAGTAGCAAAAAATTGTTTAGAGTCGAGAATTGGCTGATTGAACGCGAAAAGGTTGAAGTGCATAAAAGCCGACATAGATTAGTACAATAGAGAAGAAACAAAAAGAGCGGAAATCAAGATAGCATCCAAAGGTCCATAGTCATGGGCAAGGGGAAATGGATAAATATAAGTTGTAAAACATCTTCCCGAAAAATCCAAGTGGCCCGTGAAGCATTGTGCTTCAGAGGAACTAGAAACTTAACTTGAAGTGAAGAGGGTTACACAACTGTCAACCAGCTCCAAATAATATGAAATGAATAATTAAGAGAGAAATAACTATAAACTTTCAGAGAGACTTGATCCATCATGTTAGTTAACAAATTTATATAGATTATTTGAAGGAACTGAATTGGACAGGATTGGGACTAAAACTGCATGGCAGACAAAGCCTAGAAAAGCCACGAATCAATTGTAGTCATGACAAAAGAACAACTTGAATATATTTAAAATGCAATGACTGCGGCAACAGAAGGAATATTTCGTAATCATATAAACACAAATAACAACTAAGGAACCCTAAAAACCAATCAAGGATTGTTGATGAACATTTTTCCAGGAAAAAAACGGGGGATACACCGAACAATCTCTGGATTTATTTTGGGGAAAAGTTGTAGGAGAAGGTATTTGGGGAAAATGAACAGGAGCCACCCTGGTTTTATTTTTTCAAAAATAAAATAAAATTGGAAGTTAAAAAACACTGAATAAACACATGCATGTTGAAAACACTGATGCAAAATTAGTACAATTAAAAATAAATTAGTACAATTAAAACCCCAATGCAGAAGCCAAAGAAAAAAACAAATAAAATAACTATAGTGCAAATTCACTTAAAAATTAAAATTTAAAAAAAAAAAACACGAGATCGACTGAATTCCAATTACACACAAATTACAACTATTGAATTCCAGTTTCTAAATTCAAGCAAAATTCGAACCAAATGTAAAAGTCGAAAAAAACTTACAGCGGGGAAACGAGTATCGAGCTTCTTCCTCATGGCGCACTCAGATTTATTCCGGCATAACAAATTCAACTGAAGATTAGGGATGAACTATTTGGGTAAAAAAAAAAACAGAAATTGCTGACCTAAAAAGCTAATTCAACAATTAGGGATCAGAAAACACCATAGCGAAGACGAGTTCAATAAAAAAAACAAAGATTGATCTAATGATTGAAGGAAGGGAGCAGGAGAAAAAAAAAAACAGGATTCTTCGATTCGAATCCGAAAATCAGATACAGTGTAGAGTGTGTTCTATCTATCTTGGGGAATCCGTACAAATTTTTATTCGGTAAAATAATAAAATGACACACACACACACACACACACACACACAGTGAGAGAGGAGAGAGAAAAAACCTAGAAAATGGTGGTTGCTGTGTGAGGGCTTTTGACAAAGAGGATGTACAAGTTATAAAGCACGAGGTACTACTGAAATGGATTGATTAATTTTTTGTCAACGATGGAAGTTGGTTAATCAAAATAAAATAAAAATGAAATAGACGAGAGCACCTTGGCACGTAAAGGCAGTACCACTCGTTGAGGTTAACACATTTGACTATTTTTTTTTTAAATCAAATGTTCATCATTCAGTTAACTAAATTATTTAGGTGGACAATTTTTATTATCTTTTATAAAATCGGATTAGGTGTAGAAATCGGATGGAACGGATCAGAATTAACCTTTTAACTTTTGGGGTCTTAAGATATAAGTTCTTGGTGATAAACCTTATTAGAACTAAATGACAAGTGTAATTAAAATTTGTTTCACATCCTTTATTAAATTCATTCCAAAAATGCCCCTCCACTCACAAATTCGAAATCACACCAAATAGTAAATATACTATGAGGAACTATCGTATTATTTAAGGGTCCATTTGGATGGAGGTATTTGAGGAGAGATTTGATTTGGGGAATGAATTTGAAATGACTCCAATTTTGGAGTCATTTGAAATCCATCACTATTGCTCCAAAATCAACTAAAAAGGAGGGGTGGGGATTTGAAATCCATTTCCAAATCCCTCAATCCAAACAAGTTCGAGGGATTTGTTATTATGGATTTGAAATCCCTCCCCCAAATCTCTCCATCCAAATGCACCCTAACATTTTTAAGTTTGCATCTAGCATTTTTTGTTAATTGTTACCTGAAATACGTTTTGTTTTTCGTATTTTATCATTATATAAAAAAACTATTTTTTCCCCTTCTTTTCTACATAAATTGAAAATTATGATTTTTTTTAATTTTTCGGTCATAGACATCTACAGAAACCCATAGGAAACTGTAGTAATCTATAGTCACCCATAGACATCTTGAAACCCTGAGACATCTTGAAACTCTAACTCCTCCTACAAACCTTAGTCGCCAGATCCATAGATACCCATAGACATCCAAATCGATTTTTTTTTTATTTTCCCCACCAAATCCTAGATCCGGTCCTCCACCACCACCATCCACCACCACCACCATTACCGAGCGCCGCCATCACGCCATCATCCATGCCCAACACCGTCGCCGCGCCTTCTACCATAGATCTGA